ATTTGCCAAATTTGAAAAAAAAAAAAGAGAGATTGGAAGAACGCTGCCGGGTCGCGGGTCGGGTCGGGTCAACCCGGCAACCCGGCCGGGTCGGGTCCGGGTTGAAATGTCCGACCCGTTTGTAAAAACGGGTCGGATTCGGGTTGACCCGTTTAGATACGGGTCGGGTCGGGTTCGACCCGAACCCGGCGGGTTGACCCGAATTGACACCCCTAATTTTGAGCTTAGGCTTAGGTTAAAGAGCTGTTTAGAAATAATTTTAAATTATTTTGAGCAGTTTTAGCTTGGTGATTTGGAGGGAGAATGAAAAATATAGAGAATTTGACCATTAGACCAAGTTTAGAGAGCTTTATGTTGTAATATGGAATCCCGAGCTTATGATTTTGATGATAATAAGTTTTATTGATTGAATTTTCATTTCTCCTACTATTATATATTGTGTATATATTTTTGTGTAGTTATATTTCAGATACATCATACACCATGCAAGAAAATCCATGGCTCAAGTTTGGGTAGAATAAGATGACAAAAGTTTGTAATATTTATTTCTTTTATTTTTAAATTTCTTGAGTGATCATCATGTAAAAGATATATGTTATATTAGCGACCGTGCACACACACACAAGGGAGTGAGAAAATAATTTTTTTTTATTTAATCGTATACTGTACAATCCAAATCGTATTATATGATTAGATGTTTTTGAAACGATTTAAAAGAACTAATTTTAATTAATTTTCATTGAATTAATCATACTATACGATCTAATCAAAACAAAAACCCTAGCCACCAATTAAAATTAAGTTTATAAATTTTCTATCTTTGTACTAATAGTACTATATAATCTCGTTCATAGAGTATGATATTTGAAAACTTGCTTAATTAAATCCCCATGATTAGTTAATCAAATCAAGGGTTAATTAATATAATTGATCGTACTGTATAATTTTAAATCATATATTATATGAAGCATGTTCTTCTTGGCGACCGTCTTGGACGGAACCTTGATTTTAAACTAATCGTATTGTACGATGCTAATCTAGATGATAGTTAAAGATGATGTTCAATCGTCCCAGCAATCATCCTTGTTGCATCCTAGAGTATTTGCAGTGGTAGAGAAATATAATGTTCAACATCTTAGTGTTGTACGAAGATCCAACACATAAGCATATAAAAGAGAGAGAGGTGTAGTATTGATAAGAGACACCAAGATTTTTACGTGAAAAATCCTAAAAAGGGGAAAAACTATGGGGCCTATCCCAGTTTGAATGAATCCACTAGTATTTGAAATTGATTACAAATGAGACCTTTCATTAGAGGGAAGGCCTTGGCTTGATGTAAGAAATATACATCATATATAATGCATTACATGGTGGAAATTGGAAGAACCATTATTCACGTGTTTGTTTGGTCGAAAGGACCATAATTGGTGGGCAATGGTAGTCAAAAATACTATTTTATTATAATGGAGGTCATAATGACCATACTTGACAGGCGACAGAGGTCGGAAGGCCCTTAGTTGACAGGAGACAGAGGTCAGGAAGAATGTAGTCGACAGGCATTGGAGGTTAGAAAGGCCATAGTCGACGATGTAGGTCGGAAGGATCATAATATGGTGACAGAGGTCGGGGAGACCGTTGTATGGCGATGGAGGTCAGAAGGATCGTAGTCAAAAATGTTGGTCAAAAGGACCAAAATCGGCAAGCGATGGGGGTCGGGAAAACTACAGTTTGTCGGGTGTAAGTTTGACGATAATTGGTGATCCAGCGAAGGTCCGATGTTAGTTGGTGGTCCGACAGAAGTCCAACATCAGGAGGTATGGTAGAAGTCCAACATCATCGGTGGTCCGATAGAAGTCTGGGCATCAGGAAGTGATCCCGCAGAAGTCTGGGCATCAGGTGGTGGTCTGACATAACTTTGGCATCGGGTGGTGGTCCGATAGAACTCTGCCGTTGGGTGGTGGTTTGGCAGAACTCTGGCGTCGTGTGGTGGTCGGTAGAACTCTATGTCATTGGGTGGTAGTCCGGCAGAACTCTAACGCGTCGGGTGGTGGTCTGGTAGAACTCCAGCGTCGAGCGGTGGTCCAGAAGAACTCCGGGTGGGGGTCGAGGATGAGCTAGGTGGCAAGAGTGATCTCTGATCTCTCTCTTGCTCTCTTGCTTGGAGACCCCCCTCATGAGAAAAGCGGGGCTCTATTTTTAGATTTTCTAGAGTGGCATGACTCATAAATAGTAGGAAGATCAAGGGTATTTTGGGAGTGATTTGTATGTGCAGCCGATGTTGATTCCCTTGATCATGAACCGTTTGCTAGATATTTGGATGTCTTAGTGATATCGAAATTCAGTGATCTTGGGCTCGTTGGACACATCTCATTGAGCCGCTCAATTTGGCTATAAGCATATCATATTTGGAAACGTTTGGTAAACCAAATTATGGTTTGAACCATCCAATAGCATTTTGGGTCTTTGATTTGTACTCATTTGAGCTCGGATTTAGTTGAATTTGGTGTTGTTGGGTTTGTATTTTTGAGACGTTTAGTTCAATTGTAAGTTTACTGAAATCAGAGCAGATAGTCTCTGATTTAATTTTTGAAGTTTTCAACTTGATTTTGCTTTAAGCTTCGTGCTTGATCAAGATTATTTTTTGATGATATATTAATCCCGTATGATCACATAAAAATTAAACTAATCGTACTATATGATCTAATATACATATTTTAAACAGTTCGTCCCAAGGCTATTCCATCGTAATGTATGGCATTTGATTATGGCACTTATCATACTATATAATCAACGATCATATTATACGAATAATTACAACTCAATTGAAATTTTAAGATTTTTGGATGTCTTATATAAAAAGATTTTATTTTTTTGGTTCAGTGAGAGAGACTTTGGCTGTTGAAGGTATTCTCAGAGAGAGAGAGCAAAGGGAGACCTTGGAGAGGTAAAAGTAGTATGGGAGTTTCATATGGTTGCACCTTGATTCCTCCACATGGCTCAATGGATCTGCTTGGGGTGCTCTAGGAAGAAAGTCTTTAAGGTCAAAGTTTGAGGTCCTTTGCCTTCACCAAGAAGGTGAAAAAGGACTTCTAGGCACTCAGTCTTCATTAGGAAGATTGCGAACAATAATACCTACCCAAAAACTCATATCTACAACTAAACATTAACCCTATGGAAGATTGAGTGGTTAAATTCTCCATGCTAAGCTTCCTTGGTGCTTTCTTAAGATACTACCAAAGCCATGTACATCTCAAAGATGAGGACAAAATAAGTTTTAATATCCATATTGAGCCTTTTTATCATAAGGTTATGGCCTTTGGCCTCAAGAAATCCGCCAACACCCCCTACTACCCTCTACTAAAACCAACGTCGTTGTTAACCATCTCTTATGATCATTTTCACTTGATTATCGTCGACCAGCACCGCCCTCTAGCTATAATTGTCACACCTTGTTATAGGGTAGGGTGAGGTTAAAAGTGTTGTTGCCATAGTTCCAAGATAATTTTACTAATGCATTTCCCGATCATGATCACCTTTATCATTCACACACAAATCAAACCGAGATATAAGCTTCATTTGGGACGATTTTCTTTCTGCTTCTCAAAATAGCTTCTTAAAAGCCATCCCAAACAAAGCAATAGACATCAAACTCTTCAATTTCACCATGAAAACTATCAAAAACATGCCACAACATCTACAGCCCAAACCATTGCAACGTTTAAAAGGTAACTTTTACATCCAAATTTTTATTTTATTATTATATAACTTGATTCTACCAACTCCAAAACACAATAAAAACAATCTAATAACTGCTCGTAGCACAAAATCATAAAAAAAGTAGCAGCTTTGGGAGACACTCACATTGTAGATAACAGTGGAATATATGCCAATCCTTATCCCGGAGCCAAAAATCATTTCAAACGATACCCACACAGCTCATAACATTCCAAAAATCAAAACAGGGATGGTCCAATGCAGCTGTAAATTCTTCAACAGCCAAAGGGGACCTGCCACCTATCCCACCCACAGTCTCTTTACCCTTTCCTGATTTGTCTCGGCTATAGGTACACTACAGGAACTGGAAACCGTAAGTACGCATCAAAGAAAGCAGAATTGCAGGAGAACAAACACAGCTAAAGCAAACAAAAAGTAGAAAGAACCCAACACCTATGACCGGTGAGATTAAAAAGAAGATAGCTTCGCCACTTTCCCTTCCCCATCTCATCACTCTACTTTTAGTTCAAAGAATTTAAAACCTTGCAGAGAAATATCTTAATATAAAATACAGTTAAAATGGATCATCAGTCGAGACAAATATCATCAATGTGCCTGTCAGTTCAACAAACCCAGTGTTTCATAACCACCACTCTAACATTAACCAAGAAGTGGTGGTGGTGGTGGGTTCCATATGCCATCAAATAGTGTTCTCATTCAGGGAATCAAAGGACAAGACAGGATTACAAGCTTAACTATCCTTGCAGCAGAAACTAAATTATGGGGGTATTGGAAACCTGATAGGGAAACCACAGCAGATGAGCCTAACGCTTTCTTTTGAGAAGTGCTAATAATATAAGGTATGGATGTGACTTATTTCACGTTAGAGATGGAGATTTAAGGGGAAAAAATGATTGTGGAGTAGCTCTAGCAGAAGATAAGATTAGAGAGAGTCGTCTTAGATGGTTTGGTCACATTAAATTGAGGCATTCCAATGACCCGGTTAGGAAAATTGAGGTATTAGATTTGATTTATGTTAAGAAATGTAGAGGTAGACCTAAAAAGATTTGGTTAGAAAATATAAGAAATGATCTTTCTTTATTAGATTTAAATGAGAATTTAACTTTTAAAGGGAAACACTGGCGAAAAAGGATTCATGTAGCCGACCCTACATAGTGGGACAAAAGCTTGATGTTGTTGTTGTTGTGAAAATGAGTTCATGTTTAGAATCACAGCCTTTGTTATATTTGTCTTTAAACGTGATTACTACCAGTGGACAGTAGAAAGAACCTGAAAGTAAGAACTAGCATTTATCCAGATTTTGCAAAGGCGATGATCACAAGCTTAACAGTCATAAAAGCAAACAAAGTTGCTTAATTGTAAAATAAATGATAAGCATAAGTTAGTCTGGGCAGCACCAGTAGAAATCCAGCTCAATAACAGTCATACAAAGCGACGGTAGAAATGATAAATTACTGCAACTTTGCTTTAAAGCAACTTCACACAAGAAGCAAGCCGCACCAGCTTCAAAGTCAGACGAACAAAGAAGGCTTCTTAATCATCTGCAACGCCAAAAATTAGATTAACTTGGACATTTACATTGTTCTAATTGCAAGAAGATGAGAAGTATTATAACACACCATTTGGGGATCGAGAACTTGTTGTTGAGAAATCAGATGACGACATTGGTATGGACATGGAGAGCTGTGTGGTAGAGAAAGAGTTACGATTGGTTCTCTCATCCTCGAGATCCGACCATGAATCTCTTGTCCCAGGCCATTCATCGAAAAATGGTCGTAGTGGTTGCTCAGTCTTGATGGGAGGCTCTGTCGATCCATAATCGGTTCCAAAGAAGGAGTGTTGATGCTGCTGATGCTGCTTTGGCAAAGAACTGATAGTCACCTGACCAAGTTCTTGCAGAGGCTGAAGTTGAGGGTAACTGCCATGGAGAAAAGAGTTCTCTCTCTCCTTTGACAGAGGAAATGTAGAGACGGGCGATGACAACAGGCGCCATGAACTATCCAATGCAGAGTCCATGCCAAGAACTCTCGCACTTCCAGGAGCTTCAGAATAGAAGCCACGCTCATCTAGCCCAGATTTTGATCCATGAACATACCTGCACATATTTAGTTAGATAACAAAGAATATGTATGTATCCAGCTGCAGTAGGACCATAGATGAATACAATAAATCATTGCTCTCTTCTTAAAGGAGGCTGAGGATCTTTTGAGAATCCACAAAGCATGGAGCCATGCAACTTACAATAGAAGAATGATTGAACAGTGGAGATACATTTGAAAGGATTAAACTTCATATTATCAGTAAAGTTAAAATAAGGGTGAAAACGAAGTTGATTCAATAGCCAACACAAGCTCAACTTGCTTTAAAGCTTGGAAAGTTAATCTGTAGCATGAGTTTCAGGGCCAATAAAGATACAGCTTATATCTTGCTCACCCTTGATCTACTTTAACATTTTGTTTCTATAAAAGTTGGTAAATCCTGGAGAATAGACTGACAATTTTGAAATATTTGTAGAAGACTGTTATCAAACATTGATTACAGAAAAAAATAGTTTTATACAGAGCTTCTTTCCTGATGAAGATTCCAAGTCCAAATTCATGAAACAATCTTAAGAGGCATCCCTTCACCATAATTGGGGCTCAATTCATCATAATAAGCATTCAGCAGTCTTTCGAATATGACCAATTCTACAGGTCACATGGGGGCTTTTCAGGGTAAAAAACCTGAACTTTTCTTCATTATCTTCACTTTCCTTTAATCCAAATAAGCCATAATGTGTCTAAACAGTTCAAAACGTGAAAAATGAATAAAGAAGGAAAATGGAAATATTCTAAGCATGCTTGTGATATAAACAAAGGCAATACATGCTGTGATAAAAAGCATCACAAATTCAATTGCCAACAGCAGGACAAGAAATAATTGAAAGCATGTGTCTACTCCAAGCAATTCAAAACAAATCAAGTCAAAAAATTGTAGTGTGGCAATAAATGGGCAAGACTCAGAAATAATGATTCACATTATAAGTACACTTCACCTAAAACCATACAACAAAGTGTGAATGCAAAAATATAAGCATTAGATATGCAATACACCACTTAACAATTCCAACAACCGTGTCAGACCAAAGATGACAATAAGGCCGTGGCATGTTGGAAGCTGGAAATTAACATTATAAAATCATAGGTTCCTTATGTTTCATTTCCTGTCATTTTCTTGAAAAATTATTCAATGCGGACGCCGAATGCCGTCCGGAGACCAACCAGAATGAGCCACGTCGGTATCGCGGCTCGGTACTACTCGGTACCGCTCTTTACCACGTTATGTATTGTTGACGTGGCTCATTCTGGTTGGTCTCCGGATGTAGAGCTGCATTCGGCATCTGCACATAATAATTTCTCCATTTTCTTAGACTCGATGAAGACGAACAAAAGAAAAATATCAAATACCATATCAAGTATGAGTTAGGCATTTATTGTCAAATAAACTGGCAGGTAAAGATAATTAAAACCAATTGCATATAAGTAACCACCATAATCAGAAAATGAGTTGATAAAAATTGGAAGAGAAAAAAATATAATCTAAACTAGAGAGCATAACTGAGCAAATGAAAAAATAAAACCCATAAAATGCTAAAAGCAAACTATTTAACAAAAAGACAGATATGTTTACAAGAAAGATATCAGCTGAATGAAGGCAAGCATAACATGCATCAAAAAGTTCTAGTTACATAGTAAACAGACCAAAATACATAAACAGATTAAATTCAAAGCTTAGGGCTAATTTTGTTCCTTGTATATATAGAAACATATCATAAAAAGTGATTATTTCGTTCACTCAATTTATGTGTTAAATCAAATCTATATAGCATTTGTGGAGTTTTGAGAGAATTTGTGAAGCATAAAATCAATGTTAATAGCTACTTTCATTGGTTTTCAAAATGAGTTTTAGCAACCTAAATCAATCAAAAGAGGCCCTTATCATTTACCAACTGTCAACAGAAATCATAATCAAGCCTAACAGGCATTAGAGATCTCCCAAGTTCCTCACATTCTGCTATTTAAACAATTACTCCAAAGGCAACATTTTCAGGGATCTAAGTTTATCGTTACGATGAAAGTACCAAAGACTGGACCTATTGAAAAACATTATTGAAGCTTCAGAAGCATATATTAGTAGAACTAGATTAATCACAAGTCCCAGCTTTCATATTTAAATCTTAAGTGAAAGTAGCTAGCTTTTCATGCTATTCCTCACTTACAAAGCCCTGAAAGGATCACGTAAGGCAATAAAAAATAGCCTAGGCAATCGATAGAATCATCTAATATTTAATTTGTGGTTGTAGCTTAAATCGCAGCTTGGTTGTATGTGTATAGTAGGCTAAGCAAATATTAAACGAAAAGGAAGCACTTAACTAGCCATTAAAGAAACAAGGGAGGAGAAAGATTCTTCTGAACTTGCTAAGCTCCACAGGTGTGTCAGATTAATAATCAATTCCCAATAACTTATTTATAATCACAAATGCTGATCAAATGGCAATACTTTACTGCACTTCCAGGAAGCGCAGTCTATGGAAACAATAAGAAAATTAAGCATATCTGCCATTTAGTACAAGAATATTTCGAATTTACAAACAGATCTAGAATCCTATTTTATTTCCAAACTTCCCTTGCAAATTAATAATTTCTTTGGTAAACCCCCATAAGACTCAGTTGGTATCTGCACTAAACCAGAGCACATTTTCTAGGAAGAATCTCAGATCAGTCTGCAAGTCATCCCCACAGAGTGGAGTTAAAAAATAAAAAATAACACAAAGGCAGAAGATGGCGATTTCAAAAGAACTGACAACTCTATAACTCAGGCTATAAAAAAAGGTTACTTAAGGCCCGAAGTTTCTGGATCAGCAGTACTACAGTGCAAGCAGTTCTTTTATCAAAATAAGCATATAAATCTTTACCTGAAATCTTTGGAGATGACGTTTCCGTATGAAGATGGGTCAATGCTGAGATGAGAGGAAGTTGCAGCGCCAATGCCAGAGACTTGATGATGCATTGAAGGGATCGAGTGAAGAGGAAGGGAGTGGAAGCTCCCGCCGCTGCAACTACCTCCGCCAATGGAGGCGGTAGCGCCGCTTCCACTGCCGCTCCCGGAACTCCCCAGAGAGGTGGGAGCTAGGGAAGTCACCGTCGAGCAAGACGACTGCGACTGGGAGAGGGCTTGCGGCGTTTCCACATGCTTTCTTGAACGATTGCGGCCGCGGTGCATGTGCCGCTCACAGTACTTGGAGTCAGGGTACGCGTCTTTTGAGCACCGCCATTTCTTGCCATCGGTCCTCCGGCAACGGCCAGGTTCTGGGTCAAGTTTCTTCCCGTAGTAGGAGCAGTAACCCACTGATAAAATATCGGATAATATCAATGAAAAGGAGAAACCGCTAAGAAATTTCGTACAAGTTTCAGATCTGTCAATGCTAGCCATTAAGAATGAGAAAGAGATTTATTATTTAAAAAAAAAATCAATAACAAAGAAAAGAAAACTACTATCATCACAGGCAACAAATTCTAAAATTTATGAAAATGAGGCAGAGTAACATAACGGTATTGATGATATTGAAACATAGGCATTAAGAAAACTAGCAGGAAAGATTAAAAAAATGGGGGAAAATTTTTCAGCAAAGCAAGTAGAGAGATCCATTAAAATAAACTAAGAAAATCAATCTTTCCCAAGAAAAGAAAAAAAAAAGAGCAATTTTAAAAGCATTCATATGAGAAATAAGAAACACAAGCCATTAGAAAATGTCAAGATAAGATCGAGACTTGAGAAATACAACGAAAAACTGATAGGGGGCAAAGAAGAGGAAGGCAAAATATGAGCGAAACAGGCTTACGGGCTGGATGATGGTAGAAGCGGGCGGCCATGGTCTCATAGCCCCTTCGAATCGGGAGAAGCAACTCGGGCGGAACGGGAATCCCAGCTATCAGGTACTTAAAAATGAGGGCTTGGTGCTCCAGCTCCTCCCACTGCGACGCCGTGAACGGTGGTCTGCATCCTACCCCCACCGCTGCCGCCGTACTGTTCATTTGTCCCCTTCCCCACCCTTCTCCTACAGTCCTACTTACCCTAACAAGTCTACCAACAAAAGGGCCGAAAAAAGAGTAGGTTTCAGAGAAATACAGAGAAAGAGGGAGGAAGAGGAAAAGCTGCAGAAGGAAAGCTCCCTGCTCTCTCCGAGCTCAGATAAAGCCTACTCCGCGGCAAATAAAACCCGGAATGGCGGTCCGCCTACCTGCAGGTAAGAGATAGCAGCAAGGCTTCGCCATTTTAGGATAGCAAAAAGGTCTAAGCTTGCAGCAAATGCAACACAGTAGAGAGAGAAAAACAGAAAGAGAAAGAAAGAGAGCAGAAACCAAATAAGAGAGCGATGAGTTTGAGTGTTGCTCTTGCTAGCATTTATAGCTAAAATGGAAGAGAGAGATAGAGAGAGAAAGAGAGAGTAGAGACAGAAGAAGATGGGATCAAGATTATTTTGGCAAAAATTTCTTCTTCTGATAACTCGCTGGCATGGGTTAGGGTTGAGTGCGACTTGAGAGGATAAATGTCCCACTGTCATAGTGAGACCGCAAGAGATTTTAAAAAGCCCTGCTTCATGAACGGAGGCAAAATCTGTCTTAATTATAACCAAACAAATTTATTAACTGATTAAAACTTATCCCTTTAAAACTTGATCATCAAAATTTAAAAAGCAAAGTTTTTTATCAACTTTTACATAGTTTCAATCCATTAAAATGATCGATCCGCCATTTTTCTGTACTTTCAGTCAACAAATACTTTGATTAAACTCGGATTATGAAGATTAGAGACATGCATTTAGTTTTAAACAAAATTTAGATAGAGAAAGAAAGGAAGAAGGCGGTCCACCGCGTGTGGCTGGGGAGCTTTGGCTTCCCATCGTGATTCGAATTGGAGTAAATATGAAAAAAATAAAAAAGCGAAGAGCTGTTACACCGAAGAAAAAGAAGGAAAAAAATAAAAAAGAAAAGGGCTGTCGCTCTCTGTGGTTTGTCTCTATCTGAGAGGGATGGCTTCGGGTTCCTCAGCTCGTATCGGGAAAAGAGATAGTATCTTTGTAAGCAAACAGGAAAATTTAATGATAATTTAATCAAAGAGATAATTTTCAATGATATTATATAATTATTTTGGTTCTCTGGAACGCCTTGGGCTCCGTGATCGATCAGACGGCGAAGATCGGGCAACGCAGACGGCAGCGGAGGCCTCTGTTTATCGTCCGTACATAGGGTGACGGATGACAGCCGGTAGGCGTTACGGAGTTACGGCCGCGAGGGATAACACTCACGTTTTAAACGAACGGCTGTAAGGGAGCAGCTGAGGGGATAGGACAGCGTGGCTAATGTCTTATGAGTATGGTTGCGACACGTGTTGTCGGCGGCGAGGAAGCCGACGTAGACTGCGGATAAGTGACGCTTGTAGACCGTTAAAGCTGTCGCCGGCGGCGAAGGCAGCAACGGTGAAGACGTGGAGCTATGACTTTGGGTTCTCTTCGATCACATCGCAGTATGGAGTGCGTTGAATTTTTTTATTTTATGTTTTATTTTTTTATTCTTTTTATAATTTAAAATTTGTGAAGTCTTCTTCAGCACTTTATTTACACTGTATATGGAGCATATATTTTAATAATAGTTATGCGTGTATAATTTAGTAATTTTGAATTAGAAGCTCTAAGGTGTATGGTGCATGTTCAAGCTTTTATGATAATAGAGATAATTTTTTTATCTTAGCATCATACAAAAAATTGCACATTTATAATTAAAAAAAATGAGAGTAGTTCATAAGATGATATTTTTTTATGTGAAAATTTCTAAAAAAGAAAATTCACATCATTTTAGTTGAAATGATTACAATATAATGATATTACAGATGATATCATTCTCTGTAGTTTAAAAAGCTCTAATTAAATATAATTGACATATATTATGGAAGATGACTTCTAATATGGAAATTGGAACATTGAGGCATTTGAGTTGTTGTTAAGCGAATATTTGTGATATGTTTGGTCTTTCTTCTTATAGTAAGGGATACTAGTGATTAAGACAATGTGCGTTGTCCTTTGAACATATGGCATGTATCAATATTGGTGTCAACTATGAGAATCTAGCAAATTATCAATAACAAGTATTGGTATTAGAGTCGAGAAAGAGCATTGGCAATCGGGTCAACTATGGGTGATGACCTTATTGGTGTTGATGGTTGACATCAATATTATTCGCATCAACAAATGTCAAAGTTGGTGTCGACAATGAATGATAATCATATTGGCATCGACAAGCACCATTGTTGGTGGCGACAATGAGCAAAGACTTACTTGACATAAACAAGCTTCAGCAGATGCCGGTGTTAGTGTATGTTGTTAGATGTTGGTGTCAACTAGTAGGTAGCAATATTATTGGTGATGGAAAGTGTCAAGATTTACATCATAGGTGGCATTAGCTTGTTGGTAACAATGATCTTTGATGTTAGTGGCTAAGGTGGTCATGATTGGCAATGATCTTATTTTGTCGATATTAGTAATGACAACCTTATTTGATCTTGGTTGTAATAACCCAAAAGTTTAAAAATAAATTTATTTTAAAAATATGAAGAAAAAAAATTGTATGGAGTAGTGTGGCATCAATTTGGAAAGTGCAACATGCCAAAAAATATTGATGCGACGTGAATACTCTCTATTTTACAGTAACTCTGTAGGCAACATGGATCGCAGCCATGTTGGGTCACTTGAGCATCATCGTGTCATACACTATATATATAGCCATCACCTCTCTCCCTCACTCTCACTCCCTTTTGCTTAATTGGCCGAAAAGGAAAGGAAAGAGGAGGGGAAGAGAAGGAGAGAGGAGAGGAGAGAGAGAAGAGAGAGAAAGCTTTATGGGGCTTTTTTCCTATGCATGTTACAAATTTTATTCTATTTGAAGTAAGTGATTATATTCTTTCTTCTATTTTCAATGATTTTGATTTTTACAAGTTTTATCTCTCCCAAATCGATAAAAATATATTTTTTTCTAATTTATCAAGCTTTCACCGTGTAACATTTTTAAATATTATAAATATGATCTTCACAAGATTTTGATTGTAATATCATTGGGTTTCATTTGGTAAATTGGAATATATGATTTTCTGAAGTAAATGCAAAGTATTTTGATTTAATAGATTTTCATGCATTATTGTATTTTATACATGATATAAACTATATTGTATAGAAAAATAGCATGACTAATATGAGATAAATGTGGTATTTGCATGTAAGAAAATGTCATAACCAGACTCGATATGACTCGATATCACATAGGTCATATCGTGACTGATTTGTATCAAGACTAACCCCAAGATCTTGTTGAAAATATACTAAAATAAAACTTTCAATTTAATACACCATAGAGTCATTACTCAATACAAATAAAGTGGAATACTAATGACTATAAAAATGATTGTCTATTCCCCATCCAAAAATACAAATTGTTACATATATTACGGCCGGAATCCTTTGTGATTCCGTTGTCTGGGTCTGGGAAGGGAGTTATAAGGGGCTGAAATCCTTTGTGATTCCGTTGTCTGGGTCCAGGAAGGGAGACATAAGGGGAAGTTCTGAAATCTGAAATTCTGTATATATGTTCTGTTCTGGTGATATAAGCACAAAAGGGAGCTATAAGGGAAAGTTATGGTGCTATAAGCACAGAAGTGAGCCATAAGGGGAAGAGGGGAAGTTCTGACATCTGAAAGGAAGTTCTGTTCTGAAATTATCTGTTATGTAAAGCTGTAATGTGATTTTATCTGATTTCTGATTTCTGTTTGACTCTGATTATTCCGTATGATTCTGTCTACTCTGTGACATGAAAGCTTTATGATATCCGATTTGATATGACTTCAGTCTTTCGTATCTTATGTTTGATTTCTGATTGAGCTATTATCTGTTCTGACTGTTATACGATTTATGTACGATTGTTCGATTTCTGATGTGATTTCTGATGTGAGTTTATGATGATTTTGATTGGTGATTGATGTCTTCCTGAGCTGTTAGATCATCCTTATTTTCTGCGTGGTTTTCAGGTTCTGGGAAAGGGAAGGAGGTTTTGGACTAGACGTTTTGAGTCTAATCTGTGATTAGGTACTTGATACTTTTAATTTTTGTACAGTCATGACTTTTCTGTTATGTTCTGTTCTTTCTGTTTGAAGCCATACACTGTATCTGTATATGTTTATTTTGAGGAAAGAAAAGATAGATGAACTGCGCTGTGTTTGGATGTTTATAGTAGCTCTGTGTTTTTCTATCTGTGTTATATTTGGAAGAAAATTCTGAAGCAAATTTCAAAGCCAGATCCTGGATTTGTTGGCTGTGTCACGGCCCGATGCGAGCGGGATCCGTTCCGATCGGGTTGGGTCGTGACAAGCTTTAGTGGTATCAGAGTAATGGTTTTGGAATTTGGATTGTAAGACAGAGCTATAGGAAGTGATCTGTGAGTCTGTCTGGCGTAGTTTTGGTTTGTCTGGATTTTTATTCTGTTGTTTTGTGCTTAATTTTCTGTGTGATCATGGATCTGCCAGACCCTGATATGACAGATGGGCAGAGTGCTAGTCAGGCAGCTCCAGTGGGCAGTACTATCCCAGTGGTTGGTTCTGATACACTTTCTCAGTTTGCTACATTGGTTGCTCAGATGATGAGCGAGATTCAGAGTAGAGCCTCTACTGTTCGATCTGAGGATATAAATAAACATCTGCAGTTATTTTTTAGATTGAAACCTTCAAGGTTTGAGGGCACTATTGAGCCCAGAGCAGCTAAAGAATGGTTGAGAAGGTTAAAGAAGACTTTTGACGGCATGCAGTGTCCG